TTTTTGAATTGTGTTACGTTAATTTGTAAAAATTACGAATGAAATGTCATTAGTTGTATTTATGTAGTGTTGCTGTAAATATTAAAAAATTTAATATGGTACGGAACCGAACCCGAACGGTTCCATAATTATATTTGGATCCGACGGTTCCATTTATTAAATACTCGAAAGTTTTGGATCGATTCGGATCTCTTCAGAATCGAACCGAACCGAACCGACCCACGAACAGCCCTAGTTCATTATATGCCTCTATATCTCGTCATTAGTTCATGAAATATTTGATTAATGCAATTCGGAACTTTTATTTCAAAATAAATAAAAAATCCACATTGATACTATCATGGTACTATTATCAGATTTGCAAACTTTTCACCAACACCCACGATAAATGACTAGGAAACATTGCCACACAAGGAGTTTTTACGACGGTGCATTACACAATACATCTCGACTGCGGAGGATGAGAGTGAATGTGAAACAAGTCCTTGGAGGATGGGGCGATAGGAAGAACATAGTATTAGAAAGGATATACATGACGAAAGTGACATCATATGAGAGCCTATATCTGTTGTCCCTATTTGTTGCCTCTTTCATCTACAAAAGACGATAAATATCACTCTCTCCAAACTCATGCTCAAACCTCGATTATGTTACAACCACATTGGGTATATTGTAGCCTATAATTACAGGCTGCTTATATCTTACAAGATTTACATGAACAAAGGTCATAAACTAAAGAAGAAAAAAAAAAGATTTACAAAGAAATGAAGCATTTCACTAACTTAATTGGCTGAAGTGAATTTTTCCACTCCTTTTCCTTCTGATGTAACTACATCGAAATATGCCTGCCTTCAAATGGAGGGTGGTTCAGACCAGTAAACAAATTCCATTTCACCATAGCAGTAAATTTTACAGAGTCGACGAGATATTATTCAATCAATGGCCATGGGAGTAATACGTCTCTTTGCAGTCTTATTTGGATTCGGGATTATTCTTGTACCTGGTGAAACTTGTTTCCCTTCTTTATTCTCGTCCTTCTCTTTTTCGGTGTCCTCTTCCTTCTCTTTTTCACCGTCTAAAGCGCTGCCATTGTTGGGAGCAACTTCCATAATACTGTCATCCAATTTCTGAACCGTGTTCTTATTTTCACGGTTGACTTGCTTCTCTTTTGCTAGATAAAAGTTTTATGCAACACAAGTTGTTAACCATTGCATCCCTATAAATTGACAGAAGTTTAGAGCGAAAAAAATAATTAAAAAATAATGCTAACCTCGCA